TGAAAAATAATTTATGACTAATTTGTTTTATGAATTTAAAAAAAAAATATTTGTTTGCAAATAATTTGTTTTTTTAAAAATCAATGATTATATTATGAACAATAAAAAATTTTATGGGGGTGTGTGTGTCTGATGAGCACCAGTAKGTTTATGATATGACTATTATAGGGGAGGGGGAGTGTATCTACTATAGMGCCGACATCAGTGACATTGTATCGAATTGGTTGACCAATGAACCCATTGACTGATAGGAACGGTAGTCATCGAATCGCATCACCTGACAGTCCCGTACCGGTACTGTCGGTTGTCGATAGCATACAAACCAACGAGTATATCGATTCAGATAGTAATCCCGACGCAAATCCGRGCTCAGGTCGGCCYTGTCTACGACCACCACATAGTCGGCACGATTGCTAAATCTGCTCCACMTGTAGGCCGGGCCGTAGTTGTTCATCAGTATTTGAGTGGGCGTGTAATCAATGGGCGATTTAGTGGTAAAATATACGCCGGCCTCAAACTTACTAAATGCCCGACTCTGGAGTATATAACCGCACCGTTTGATTGCATTGGCACCCAATGTGTCCGTATAGTGAAATAAATGGTCGCCGGACTAATAAAAAAAATGTGATTATTATAAAGTAATTTAATCAACAAAAWAAACAATAAATTTTTTTTAATGATTATTAAATAAATTTTTTTAAAAACTAATTTAATATACAATTAAAGTTATATTTATATATATATATATATAGTATATATAAAATGATTAACAAATAAACAAATTTAGAAAATAATCAAAATATAAAAGTTTTATACTCTATTAACTATTAATTAATAATTTAATAATAATTACAWTAATAATAATAAATGTTACAACAATTATATATATTGATGATTAAAATAAAGTATATATTGAAAAAYAAATATCTAATCCTATCATTACCATTATTAGCTKATCCAAGTGATTGATAACTTTTTATTTAAAAAATAATAATATATTAGTGACAAACAAAATATTATATATTTTGAATAATTATATTTATTTATACAATAATTGTAATACAAAACTTTTGTTTATAATCTATAAATTGTTTAGATTTTTTGTTTGACATCGGAAATGAAAAGTTTTTAATAATAATTTTGAAGCCAAATATACTATATATATATATATATAATATGATATATATGATATATACTATAGTATACTATATAAACTTTAAACCCTGTATTATACATAATATATTTTATATATAGCGGTATATATCAAACAAGATWGTAGTCTATATTATTATTAGATACAAAAACAATTATTTTGTCGATGAAATCATTGATTGTGTGGGGGAGGGGTAGTGGGGATACCAAAAAAAATATATGATATATTTGTTAATTAGAAAAGTTAACATCAAATAATAATTTCAATTGATTTTATTTTAAATTTTTTTCTATTGAAAATAATTTCATACATTAATTGATTATTTATATAAAAAAATAATATTGAATTAATTAACAATTTAATAGATGTCAATAATATGACAATATTTGAATTATTTTTGTTTATTAATTTAAATCAAATGTTATATGAKAAATATTTTTATTTTMAAAATTATTATAACATATTTGAAATTATTAATTATTAAAAATAAYTMACTGATGATTAATTATTATTATTATTATACAAAAGTCATATATAAATATTATGACAAATCTAAAAATAATATATGAAATATTTTTTTTATAATTAAAACAATATWTTTTTTAACATTAATAATAATTATGATTATCATTTAAAAATCGCAGATATCTAAATATCACAAATGTATTTATAAATTATAGAAATTGAAAAAAACTAATTATATCAAAAAATTATACWATAATTTAACAGTTATTAAGTTATTTAAAAATATAATATTATTAATAAAAATTATTGGTAATRTTATTTTTTTAAATATATAWAATAAATCAAAAAAAACAAACAAACATTGATTATCACAATTATTTAGACCAAATGATTGATTTTACATTATAATTATTAATTAAAAAAAAAAATATTTAAATTAAAAGTAATAGTAATAATAATATTATCATTATTATTTATAGTCAAATATTAATATAATTGTAATTATCTTGAATTTTAATCAATCAATCAATCAAATGATTTTTACGAAACAATTTTTTTTTGTGTAACAAAAATAATATTTTTAATATAATATTAATGTTTATAATTAAAAAAAAGACAATCAATTTTTTTTGTCTGTAAGTATCGGTACTATTTAAGTCTAATGATTAGATAGAGAGAGAGAGACAGGTATGTCAYCASATAATTGAGTGTCCAAATTAAAAAATAACCACAAATACTACTATAGTATGGATCTGATAGATAGGATCGAGTASTAGTAGTCCCATCACAGTAGGAACGGTAGTCGTCGAACGGCATTACCTGACTGTCCTTTACGTGAACCATAAGCATCCGATAGCATACAAACGTACGGCCACCGCCTAGACTATAATCCCGTAGCAAATAGGGACTGAGGTCGGCCCTGTCGACTACAACCACATAGTCGGCACGTGTAGCAAATCGGTCGCGGACTGGGCCGTAGTTGTTGACGAGGATATCTTCGCGGGTATATCTTAGCGGCGATTTGGTGGTAAAATAGACGCCGGCCTCAAAATGGCTGAATGCCCGACTCTGGCGTATAAAACCGCACCGTTTGATTGATTCGGCACCCAATGAGTCCGTATAGTGAAACAAATGCATTGACTTGAAATTAAAATCATATAATTTGTATTTAATAGATAAAATTAATTAATTAATAACAAAATCAGTGTTTTTTGTTGTATTATTAATATAATTTACAAATAATTTTCTATTTTATAAGTTTAAATTAAAGTAACTAAAAAATATATATATAATTTTAACTTTAAATTATAATTAAAAACTTGATAATTTTAAATTATATAAATGTAAATTTCAATATACCATTATTGCTAACTTATAAAATACAGTAATCAATTCAATTGGGAAAGTGATTTAAAAATTTTATGATATGATTGACCCAACTATTTGTATACAACTAACACTCACAGAGACAATACAATCATTTTTAATATATATTTAATTAATAAAATTTTATTTTTTGTTTTATTTGTTTGTTTGGCTAATCCTTTGTGTAATATGTTTTTAACACTTGAAATAGTAATAGTTTTGTATATAATTTGTTGTATTTTCGGTAAACATAAAAGATTTTTTTTTCAATGAAAAAAACACTAATTGACGCCAAATGTCTATAACTTTAGTATAAAATAATAATATTTTATATCAAAGATACTAATGTAGATTTAATGCAATTATTATTATTATTTTTATTTGTTTTATATAATTTTTTTTGACTGACAAAATCATTGCAATTGTTATTATTGTCAACAAATTTAGGAACCAATTATTTTTTTTAAAATCTAATATTTAGTATTTAAATGTTAAATATGTTTTTTTTATTAATTTAATAATATATTTCATATGAGATGCCATTTTACCAATTTTTGTTTTTTAGTTTTGTATTTTTCTAATTAAAATTTATTGATGAATTTAAATAAAACAAATTAATATATATAAATATTAATTTATATTAACTAAATAATTCAAAACAACTGTTTTTAACAAAAACATAAAAATAATTACTAAAACATAAAATAACTAATTTTTTTAAAAAAAGTAAAATCTATGAAAATAAATGTCAAGATTACCGTTTGAATTGTGTTTATAATTGGATAATAATAAAATTTTTTAAAACAATAATAATAATCATTGTATTAATAGAAAAAAATTAATAATAATAAGGTATACAAAAAAAATAATTAAAAAATTTAAGGGATCGGTATCTGAGAGATAAGTTATCTGTCATATAGTTTTTATATTAGAATACATACTAATTAAAGTATATATTATATAATATATCGACTGAGACAGTGTAGCACTAATAGTCGTCATCTCCCTGTCCTTACTATATATAGAGTCTATAACATTGAAATCACTATTTGTATGCCTCAAAACATGAGTATTTTTGTTGTTACAGTTTGTAAAAATTAAAAATACTATTTATTAATTAAATTTTAATATTAATATAAATAATTTATAAATATTTATTTTTTTGTAAATAATAATACTATTTATTAATTAAATTTTAATATAAATAATTTATAAATAATTTTTGTTGTTGTAAATAATAATACTATTTTTAATTAAATATTAATATTTTGAAAATTTTAATTATTAAATGTTTAGTTAATTAATTACTTATTATTTAAATCGTACTGTAATTATTGATATATTTTTTTTATTAAGTTTAATATAATTATAAATAATAATTTTAAAAATCTATTATTATTATTAAATATAAAAAAATAATCTAATAGTCTCTAATATTATTATATAAATACTAGTATTTTTTTAATATTGTAAAAAATATTGATTAAAAAGTATTAATTAAAAAAAATAATGATATAATGAACCAGAACTAATAAAATTATAATTTAATTGTTTATAAGTGGATAAAATACATTATTATTTAATTATTTACAGTTTAAAAAAATAAATATTAAATTATTTATAATAATAATCAATTATTTTTATAAACAGTAATACTTGTAATGATTATTATTGAGACAAAATTAACAATTAATGTTAACTTAATTCAAGATCAATAAAAAATTATAAACAATAAATTAATATTAAAAAAATAAATAACAATTTTGACTACTTTATTGAATAATTAATTAGTTTACTAATTTAATTTTAAATAAAAAAAAAATAATAATTATAATGTTTATTTAAATTGTAATCAAATTAAATGTCAAATTAATGATATAATTATAATAAGATAAATAATGAATTATTACTTAATGGTTAAAAAATAAATAAAAATAAATAATTATAAAAAAATTAATAAATAAATAAAAATCACAAAAACAATTGACTAAAAATAATTATTGATTACTACTATATATCAAAGTTTGTCAAACGGTAAGTTCGGTAATCTGGCAATCATTTCGGCAGTCATCGGCGGTCGCATTGGTCTCAGTCGACGACCGCGTATATGATCGGCTATTTTTTCGGCAACGGCCACAATCGGTGCGTTAATATTGCCCGATACTGGCCCGGGAAATATGGAAGCGTCGACTACACGCAAACCGTTGACACCGATTACCCGTAGTTCGGTATCGACTACAGCCGAACCAGTCGGGTCGCTGGTCGGGTCAGCCATTTTGCAGGTACCCATCGGATGATAGATAACCGCCGTAAACGTCTGGCACATACATCGCAAATACGAGTCAGAGTATAGCTGATAACGTTCACAGCCGGGAAACACTGACCGTATGGGTCGGGCATCGTATCGTTGCAATGGTGGCGAACGGCTGACGACGTCCAGTGCCAGTCGCATACCGTCGACCAGTACATCCAGATCGGAGTCGTTGGCAAAAAAATTGGGATCAATTACCGGACGATCCCAAGGATTAGCCGTCAACAGCCGTATAGTACCTCTTGATTTCGGTCGCAATAGTGTCGGATAGATGGTCAGCGTTGGCACCCATTCGTACGGCTTATATACTGACCAGAGTTTACCGGTCAGTCGCATAACTTTGCGTAGTCGTAGTCCATGATCGCTGGCAACGGAAGCTTTAATACAACAAAAAAATTGATAATAAAATAAAAAATATTTAATTTATAATTATCTATTTCTATATATATTATGTGTTTAGTTAATAGTAATGTAAAAATTTTTAATTAAACAAAAAAAAATTAGGGATCAGTTATAAAGGGGGACAATTTTGATCATTAGGGGTTCATACTGGGACGGTATGCCATAGTCGTCATCTCCCTGTGCTTAACATAATAATTAGTACAGCCAAACACTATATATACTGAACAAATGTTGACTATTTTCATTGTTACAGTTTGTAAACATAAATTTATTGAAATATACGTAACTAATTAAACATTTACTATAAGCTATAATATATTAATTGAATACTAATTAATTTTAATTTAAAAACTTATAATACAGATTATTATTATAGTATTAATTAATTAAATGATTTAATAAACTAATTTTTTTTATATAAATATGTATCAAATTCAATGTTAATGCTGTTAAAAAAAGTACTGTATATGCAGTTTGCTATTATTGCCAAAAATAATACTAAATTATTAAAATAAAAAAATTAACTATAGTTTAGTTTATATTATTAACTAATTGACTAAATTATATATTTAAAAAAAATCTATTGTAATCTTAGTTTTTTTTAAAAAATAATAATTATTTTCATATATTTTGTTATTGTATTGTCGACTAACTTATAAATTATTTATGCTTTAATACTCATAAATGTATTGAATATAAAATAAGCAAAAATTTATAGTTTTATAAAAAAAACAATTAATAAACTTTTTAAAAAAAATATTTATATAAATGTTAAATACCTGGCAATACGTGTAACTGTATATCGGGCCAGTCGTCCAGGGGATCGGCATATTTTGAGTTAACAAATGCCATACTCTCGAGTATAGTACTCGATAGGCTGTTATTTTTGTCAACCAAATACTCTAATATATTGGACGGTGCGATCTCACCGATAAAATCATAGCCAACCGATTCGTTCAGCGAAAATGTTATACTACTGGCCACATGATCCATGAGATTGTCACCGACAGGCCTATCGGATATACAGTCAATTCCCAGCTGATTGAGATGCTGACGGTGCCCAATACCTGGGTAATGATAAATACAATAGGATTAGTTTGTTTAATAATATATATATATATATATGTATTAACCAGAAAGCATCAGTATTTTAGGCGACATAACAGCACCGGCAGATAGTATGACCTCACGCCTGGCGCGGACAACCATTTTGCGTCCATTTCGTACAAATTCGACACCACTGGCCCTTTTGTCGGCATTAAATAGTATGCGAGTAACAAAACTTCGTATAAATATATGTAAATTATCTCTTTGGTTGGCCACCGGTTCCAAGTAGGCTCTGGCCATCGACAGTCGTTTACCGTTACGTATGGTTCGCTGTGGAAAATCAAATACCGATTGTCGGGCACCGGTAGTCGAACCGATTGGATAGCCGAAAAAAGGACCCGATCGGACAAACGCTTTGGAAATCTTGGTCGCATAGGTAGCATTGGTAACCGTAAGTGGACCGCCCTGGCCGTGATAGCCAGTGGCCACCAGTGACGGATCACGATTGTCTTCGGCTTTGATAAAATAGGGAAACAGGTCGGCCCACGACCAACCCGGTGCTCCAGTAGCTGCCCACTGATCGTAGTCACGTGAATTGCCGCGCGAATAGACCATTGTGTTCAATACGGACGAACCGCCCATCACCCGACCCCTTGGCCACGCCATTTGACGGCCTTTGAGTCCGAAACATGACTTTGACTGTGGTTCGGTAACAAATGACCAGTCAATTGGCGTACCCTGTAGTAACAGTGCCAGTCGCGGTACATCGGATACAATATTTTCGGCTAAACCAGCCTCCAACACCAGTACACTGTGATGACTGTCCTCGGATAGCCTGGAGGCCATTACCGAACCGCCACTACCGGCACCAATCACTATGTAGTCGTACTCATCGCTAAGCGTATGTTTGTCCACATAATTACAGTGTCGGTGCTGTTGTTGTATTAGTAATAGGATTACCGACGGTATGAGCGCATAATAGGCCACCGATGGCGGCAATCGCATCAGTGATCGGACAGTTGAGTTGATTAGGTGTTTAAAAAATTGCATATTTTTTTTATTTAAAAAAATTGTTGATTTGATTTACATTAAAAAACAAATAATAATGTAAAATGATTTTTAAAATAAATAAAACTGTTGATGAAGCAAATGATTCAATTTAAATTAAAACAATTATTATTATTTGATTTTAAAGTTTAAAGGACAGGTAGCACATGACATGATATGACATTTATATTGATATGACTTTTAATAAAGGATTAAATTTTATAATACAATTTTATTTGTAAATAAAATTCACTTTTATTATTATTATTATTATCACATTTAGTCTATTAATATAAAATATTTTTAAAACTTATAGTTAAAAAGTAATAAAACTTTATATATAGTATAATCATTATAAATATTTCTATAGATATGTTATCTATAATACAGTACTTAGACATTGAGATTAATATTTAGATTATAATTATGTATTTAATTTATGTTTAGTTTAAATTTATTGAATATTAAAAACTAGTCATTTAATTTTGAAAGTTTAAAAAAAATATAAATAATTATTATTCAAATAAGTGCATTTAGATAGTTTATAATTATAACATAATGTTATTGTTTGACACATAAATTATGAAAATAAAATATGTTTAAATATTAATAATGTTAAAATAATTTTAAAATTTTATTTAGTATATATATTTTACAAATTTTTAATAATTATAAAACTTTTAGAAATTTATTATATAACTATTATTTATTTATTTATTTAATTCAAACATTATGCTAAAAAAATAAAATTTGTAAATAATGAAAATATAAATGTTTATTATTTTTACAAATAAAATAAAAGTATAATATGTAACTTTTTTATATATAACAAATTTTATTTTATTTAATTAGTTAGTAGTATTATTTACATCAATTTAATAATAATAATAATTATTATTTATACATAAACCTATTAAAATGTATATATTTTTTAAAAATCATAAAAAATGTGAAATTATTATTATTAATATAATAATCTTGTGCTAAATTTTTAGTTAACAGTAATTACAATTAGTTAACAAAATAATAATAATAATAAACATAATTAACAACAACAACAACAAAATACAAAAATATATATAAAAATGATTTGGCATTAAAATTATATTAATTATATATACAATCAGTTATTTTTTGTGTGTATTTGTGTGGTTACACTAAATTTTCATCCCATTCCTCGTACGGCAAGTTTGGCAACTGTTTGATCATATCGGCGGTCATTGGCGGCAAAAACGGTTGAACCCGTCGGCCACGCATATTGTCGGCAATTTTTTCGGCCAACATAATAGTTGCCGCATTAATATTACCAGTGGGTACTGTTGGCATAACTGAGGCATCGACTACACGCAGACCATTGATACCGAACACCCGGAGCTGCGAATCGACTACTGCCTGCCGATCGTGTTTGGCACCCATTTTACACGTACCGCTCGGATGCCAGCCAATAGTGGTCAATGTACGGGCCATACAGCGTAGGTAGTCGTCCGAGTAGAGCTGGTAGGGTTCGCAACCCGGATAGACAGTCTGAAACGGTCGGGCATTGTATCGTTGCATCCATGGACTTGAACTGGTTTCGAGAGCCGCCTTCAAACCCTCGACCAATACATTGAGATCCTGTTCCTCATCGAAATATTTCGGATCAATCAGCGGCTGATCGTAGGGATCGGTAGATAGTAGTCGTATCCAACCTCTGGATTTCGGTCGCATAACTACCGCATAGATACTGAACGTATTGTAGCCGACATACGGTTTGAATACCTGTTTCCAAACCGACTTTTTCAGACCCAATATCCGCTGAAAGTTGAGCCCATAGTCAGTGGTCAACGATCCTAATAATAATAATTATATTAAATAAGATTTATTAGAAAATATTAATATATATATATATGTTTTTATAAAAACTATAAAAGCTATAAAAACTAAATAATAATTATTAAAGTCAATAGCAATATATATACCGTATTTAGTAAATTGTTTATTATATATATATATATTTATAAAATTACTGTACGATAATAAAACATATAATATTCAACAAAAAAAATTTAAATTAAACTAATAATATATTTAATTATATATCTGTATAGTTATATACCTAATTAAATAGAGGTATCATAATTATTGTAAATAAATTTTATTTTACTGTATATGATATTTGTATAAAAATTAGTATTTGTTTTAAAAACTGTAAACAAATAATAGTTTAATAATTTTTATAAATAAAAATGCTAATACATTATTAATTTTATTGATGATAGTTATACTATTTTAAAAATTATATATTTATTTTTTTGAATTAATTAATTAATTGAACAGATGGTATCATTCAGTTAACATATATATTATTTTTTGTTTATTAATAAATTTTTAAAATTACTAAAACTTGTCTTATTATACTTATATTGTTAAAAAATAATAATAATTAACTATAAATAACTAATAATTTTTACTAATAATTCATAAATATTTTATTTTATATCATTTATTGACTGTAATTATTACTTTATATCAAAAGTGCAAATAAATATTTATAATAACAAACAAAACAATATACTAAACAATAGTAACGTATTTATAAATTTTATTATACTGTATTAACAATTGATCAATTATTTAGCAATAATTTTATAGATTTATTATTATAATAAACTATTATTAAATTAAAATCTATATACAAATTTAGTATCTAAATATTTATTAAATTAATTAAATTAATTTAAATATTTTGAAATTACTAAACCTATTGCTTATTAACTTAAAATAATATGATTATAAACTGTATCAATGAAAGTAACTAGAAAATGTTGACTATATATACCAATTTGGACCCTGTTTAGTTTATATATATCAATTTTATAATTAAATGGGAAATGATGATATAAAAGATCTACTAAACCTAGCTCTCTGATTTAAACATTGATTAAACAACCATGCACCACTCTAATCCCATTTAATTATTATTATTTTTTTAATTTTATAAATTTAATTAATTATTTTAATTATTACTTATATAAATACTTTATAATATTAGTATACACTATAACTATATACTATAAAATTTTAATTTTAAAAAATACTGTATAATTATAACAACAACAAGTGTCATAACTATTGATGGATAAAATTATTGTTGATTTAATTGATTAAATAGTTTTAAATAACAATTTTTTAAAATAAAAAATATGTATATATTTGGTTAAAATATTATATACTATATATATATATATATAAGTTTAAGGTTCTAAATAATATTAACAAAATTTAAAAAAACAAGTTTTTAGTACATTATTATATTTTTTTTGTTATACCGGTATAAATATTTAAACATAAATGTATATTATATACAGTGTGTGTGTATATAATTTATTTGACCTTGTACATTTATCTAGCATACTGTATGTATTATACAGTGTATAATATTCAATACTAAATATACTAAACTATAATATAGAAATTGTTGTTTAAAAAAAATTTTAGTACATTTAAACATAATTAATAATAATCATTATTTAATTATCATATACTGTATATATATATAAATCATAATTTTGAAAATTAATATCTAATTAACTATTGAATTGTGAATTTTATATTTATAGTTAATATACATCATTAGTTGTAGACAAACACAAATACAAACTGTAATAATGAAATCAATAATAAATCAGTGATATATATAAACTTTTCAAATTATGTTTAGTTATAAGTGTGTGTTTGTAATAACTATACATATTTAAAATATATGGGATATGACGACTATCATACCTAGGTCACTGAATAATCATATAATGATTAAACTTGATTGGCACTTACAGATCCCATTAATTTTAATTTTTTTTTAAATTTTATAATATTAAAATTATTTAATAGTATTAATATACAGTATATATTTAAAAATTTGATTAATATTTAAATACAATATATTATTTTTGCTAAATAGTATACTTGAATAAGTAATTGATTGAATATACAGTAGTAGTAGTAGTAGTAGTAGTAGTATTATTGTCTATTTAGTTAAACAAAAATGTATTTATATAAGTTTATAATTAATTTATAATTATTATTATCAATTAGAAAAATATTGATTATTGATTTAATAAAAATAAAATTTATATTAATATTTAGTCAATTAAAATATTATTTAAATTACTTAATTTCAATTGAAAATTTTAATTTAAAAACAAAACAGTTTACAATCATATACTGTATATATAATACATTATACAGTATATATATATATATATATATATATTTATATACTATATATACCGGTATATAATAGTTAAATAAATATTACAAACTGTAACTATAAAATAGGTGCTAAAATGTTTAGTATATAAATCATTGAAACCAAATGTTAATATTAGTGTACAATAAGTATTGGATTATTAATATTATAGGAAATGACGAGTAAATATAAATTATATCAATGAGTTATATATTATGATTACTACATATATAATCTGTCAATCCCCGGATCCTATAATTTTTTTTTTAATTTAAATTTATTATAAATATTTTTTTTTAAATTTCTATTGAAACGAAAACAAAAATATATGTTTTATTTATAAGTTTATAATTGAATATTTATAATATAAATAGCATTCAATAGAAATTATTTATATATAATAAATAACTATTTTTTAAAAATTTAATCAATATTAAACTATTTAATATTTTTGTTGTTGTTGTTATTATGCATAATTAATATATTTATTTTATATACACAGTATATATAAAAATATAATTAAAGACATTTTTATAATTAAAAATTATTAATAAACATTAGTAATCTAATTATCCAGTTAACTTTAATACCTTTATAAATTTATAAAAAAATAATTTTAAAAACAAATATATATTATTATAACTAATTATACTATTATATATATATATATATATACACAAATAAGCTAGTTAATTGTCAAATTTAACCAATTAACTAATTGAATGAATAAATAAAATATTAATAAAATAAATAAATAAATTACCTGGCATCATAAACAATTGTATATCTGGCCAGTCGTCTAGCGGGTACTGGTATTTGGTTTTAATAAAACCGGTACCTTCGTCAATGTTTTTGGCCAAATGATTTTTGCGAAACAAAAAATACTCCATCACATAACCGGGTTTAGACTCCCGGAGCCAATCGATACCAATGGTTTCATTAACAGTAAAAAATAGGCCACTCGATACATGCTCCTGAAGATTGTCTCCCACCCGTAGATTGGCCATCACTGGTATGCCCAATGTTTTCAGATGTTCTTTGGGACCGATACCTGTAAGTGGGAGGGGTGGGGAGGGAGGGGTGGTTGGATAGATAGATATAATTAAAAACTTTATATACAGTTATAACAAAAATTTATATAAGTTATAGATTTTTGAAAAAAAATTCAAATAAATATCATATACTAGTAGTAGTATATATTTATGAGATATTTTTTATGCTATTAAATGAATTTAAAGTTTAAATAAATTAATATATAAATATATTTAAAAAAAAATAATATTTAAATTTTAAAAAAATATAATACTAATAATATTTTATTCAAAATCTAATTTATTAGGTAATCTATATAGACCTTGAAACTATCATATAATAAATATGCTAATAGTTTATTTACTATAGTTTTTATAATAGTTAATAAATTTAGTTTAATAAATGTTTTTACAGGGATTTGTTATATATATTATAAATACTATATATATGAATATATATTTATATATATACAGTATATTGTCGGCACATATACACTGTATAAATACCTGATAGCATCAATATTTTCGGTGAATTGATAGAACCGGCCGACAGTATGACTTCCTTTCGGGCGCGAACCACATATCGCTTGAATAGACGTTCAAACTCGACACCGACGGCCCGTTTATCGGACGAATGGATCAGTATTTTCGTGACGTACGCTTTGGTGAGGATGTGTAGATTTTTACGGCCGGCCAACGGTTCCAGATAGGCCTTGGCCACCGACAGACGCATACCGTCTCGTGTATTGATCTGCGGTATTGTCCACTGGGTCTGCTGGTGGCCATTGATATCGCCGACAGGATAGCCGATATGCGGCCCGGAGTTGACAAACACTGACGACATTATACGGGGATTGTTGAGCGAAGTTACAGTCATCGGTCCGCCGACACCGTGATAGCCGCTGGCCACATATTCGGGATTACGGTTGTCCTCGGATTTGATAAAATAGGGAAACACTTCGGGCCAGGACCAGCCTCGGGCACCGTTAGCAGCCCATTGGTCAAAGTCGCGTGGATTGCCGCGACAATAGACCATTGTATTGATAGTCGATGTACCGCCCATTACACGGCCGCGTGGCCACAGCGATCGGTGGCCATTGAGACCCAGACACGAGTGTTTCTGCGGTACGGTAGCAAAGCTCCAGTCCATTGGTGTCAACTGTAGATTGAAACTATTGACCGGTACATCGGATACTACTGTTTCCGATTTGCCGGCTTCGAGTAACAGTACAGATACGTGCGGATCTTCGGATAGTCGGGCGGCCATTATCGAGCCGGCAGTACCGGCACCGATAACCACATAGTCGTACTCATCAAGGGTTACCATACGCTGGACATACAGTTCGTGTTGTAGTTGTGTTTTCAATAGTATATAAAGGAAGGCCGGTATTAGCGGCAATAGCTTAAGACTAGATCCCGAAGCCAACAGTGCAGTGGCCAGCGATTGGCTAATGTGTAGTAATTGTTCTGTAAAGTGTGGTGAAGACATTGTGATGGTTGAGAGCACCGGTATGTTGTAATAAAAATCAAACAACAACACAATATTAAGTAATTAAACTTCAAATAGTTTCAGTGAATTGATAGCATTTAATAATAATTTTTTCAGATATTATTTTTTAGTTTTTTTAAAAAATAATATATAAGTTTTTTTTCTCTATAGTATTATTTGATTTATTTTATATTAATTATTATTATTATTATTATTATTATTATTATTATTATTATTATTATTATTATTAAGTATCATAATTTCTAGATTAATTAGATTTATATTAATTACTTATAATTGATTAATTGATTCAAAAAATAATTTATTAGAAAATTTTTTTTTATTTATTAATATTTATTATTACTCACAAACAAAATTTAATATTAATCACTAAATATTCAATGAAAACATTTTAGATAATGTTTAGATAATGTCAACAACAAAAAAGTCACTTTTGCTTATAATATCTATTATTTAGACATATTATATGAAACTTTTTTTCCCGTAAAAAAACATTTTAAAAAACATTTTTAAAAAATAATATCTTAACTACATATGACTTAAACACATTTGAAAATGAAAACACATATACTTTTACCCACAAAAAAGTGGTCATCAAATAAAAACAAGTAGTTATTATTTTTTAAATTTAAAAAAATCAATTTATTATTATTTTTTTATTTAATTTTAAATATCATTATGTGAAGTGTTATGATTTGATTTGATTTTTTTGAAGTTTGTTGGCTTCAAATAAAATTATAGTTAAAAATATTTTTTGTTGTTAAACAAAAAAATACACTTGACTTTAGTTAATAATAAAATTTGTTTTTTTTTTGAAAACTTAAAAAAATATTATTTATTGAATACAATATATATATAAAAAAATTAATTTAAAAGTAAGTCAAACACGTTGTGTGTATTGATGTTGTTGTTTAGCATATCTTATTTGAATCACTACTAAAACATTGTAAATAAAATTGTAAGCTTTTAATACACAAACAACACATTCACACAATAATAATAATAATATTAATAAAACAAATGATATTAGAAATTATCTAAAACACTGATTATATTAATATATATAAATATATTAAAACTTTTATACAATAATACTATATATTTTCAAATAAATGATATAATAATATAAATGTAATGATTTTTCTGTCCTAAATCCGCTGGACTTTTTTTTATTATAGATATTATTAAATTAAATATAAACTATATATATATATAAAGCTTTAAATAACTTTAGTCTTTAAATAAATATATATTTTACATAAAAAATATATTTAAAAATATTTTGTTGTTTTGTTTATTATTATTATTATTGAAAGTCTTAATAGACTGTTTGTATGAGACATTTACGTAAACTTTTTAAAAAAAAAATTAAAAATAAATTATTCACAAAAAAGCTTATTAAATATTTTTTATTTTTTTTGTGTGGATAAAACAAAATAAAAATCACAGTTATTTATCAAACAAATATATAAATATAATAAACTGTATCACTATTTATATATATATGTATATATATTTTTATTACAACAATTTTTATTAATGTTGATATATATTTATACAATATATTTGATTTTTGATTTTTAATTAAACAAACAGTCGGACACTTATTAAACAAACTTTGTATTAAATATATTAAAATTATTATTATTATTACTGTCAGTCAATCACTCGCACAGTCAGTCAGTTTATAGTGTCATTAATATGTTAAGTGAAAAACAAAATTTTTAAACCAATTTTTACTCACATAACAAATGATAAAAATCTTATAAATTATTAGTTTTTTTTTGTGTATAAGAAACTTAATATCAGGTTTTTACTCTCTCTCTCTCTCTCTCTCTCTCTCTCTCTCTCTCTCTCTCTCTCTCTCTCTCTCTCTCTCTCTCTCTAAACTAATATAAGTTGTCTAATAATTTTTGTTGATATTTTTCGGATCAATTATAAGCGTTAATATCTACTTATTTATAGCATTCATAGAAAACTTTCATAAATGTTTTTTTTTGTGAAATAAATAAATAAATAAACAAAAAAATAATAATTAATTTTATTTTGAACTGAAAGGTATTATATATTATATATACAGTAAATATATAATATTTATATTGATTGCAAATTATGTCACAATTTTCGGTATTTTTAACTCATAAATATATAGTATATATATAATACTGTATACTATTATGTGTAATGAAAAAAAACATACAATTTTATTTAAATAAAAAAACAATCATTAAGTTTAACTTGAGGGCCACACCAAACAAACATAAAACAAAAAATAATCAATAAAAATTAAAGCTAATTAAAAAAATTTTGTAACCATTTTTAGCTTTTATATATACAGTATATATAATATTAATAGTATATATTTATTGTATATATAAACTACTATTTATTATAAAAATTAAAAGTTATTTTTGTTTATTATTATTCTAACAATATTTGGCTATATTTATAAATATACAAAATATTTTAGTTTAGAAATTAATGGTTTAGCAAAATATAAATCTGTTTATATTATTACATAAATTACTTTTACTGATAACAAATCGATCGATAGTTATCAATAAAAAAAATAAAAAAAATAATAATTTTTAAAACCATTAATAATATTATAATATAGCCAATCAATTAGCACACATAGTAGTAGTAGTAGTAGTACTTATAAGGGGGTTAGGGGTACTTGACTTTGACACCAGTGTCGGTGAATACATATGTTTTTTTTGTTGTTGTTATACATACCAGTGCTCCACTAAAAAATAACAAATTGAATGATTATATATATATACCTAAACATTATATACAGTAATACAGTATTTGATATAACAATATTTTTTATATATACAGTATAAGATATTTTGACTGAAAATAAAATTTGACACTAATATTATATATATTATGTCTTATATGGCTTATATATATATATATATAGTTTAATGGTTATTAAAAAAAAAGTGGTTTAAAGCTCATAAATATTATCTACCGGTGCTCTCCACACATCACTCTTTTATTTGGCTAAAGGCTTATTATTAACCTAATTGTTGTCTAACTATTTATAAGACTCACATAAACTCTAATTTAATACATATTTAAAAATATATATATAATAATCATAATAATTATATGTCATATATGGTAATCAAATTGATTACATATATATATATATATATATACGATAAGTAATTTTAATCAATATTAACTATAATCAACATATTAAAAATAAAAAAAACATTAATGTAATTATTTTGGATACTATTAAAAGCATAATATTTTTTAAAAATACTAATAATATATCGATATATTTTAAAACACTTTCTAATTGTTATATATTTTATTCAGTATTATAATTACAATATATATATATATATATAAATACAGTTAATTTACTATCAATATATATGTGATGACCGTTAGCTTATAAATACAAGTTAACAGATTTAATTTTAAGGTAATCTATTATCTGATAGCATACCTGTCCAACAAAAACCTGACATACCTAATGGCATACCTATGTCTAGTATATCGAGAGTCTAGTATATCAACAAAAAAAAATATAACTTTCTATAAATAATTTTTATATTCAATTATTTTTTTAAAAGTAGATTTTAAATTAAACAAACAGTTTTGTATAGCATTTTCAATAATAATAATAATAATAATAATTGTTATTTTGTGTGTCAAATGCTTAATCAAATGTTTTAAAAAAAAACATTATTATTGAATAATTAAATGCATGTTTTTTTACATAATGAGTGTATAATAAACAAAACATTAATTTAAATAAACAGTTTTTACGACAATAAAAAATATTGTAAAATGTGTTATTTATATTTATTATTATTATTATTATTATAATCTAATCATAAAATCTATAAAATATTATGTTTAGAAATTTTAATTTACATTAATTTTTTAAAAATATATAAATGCGATATTGAATTGAGTTTAATAGTTTAATATATATATATATATAATATTTATTAATAATTTTTATATACAGTAAATTAGTGTTATATTTATATATTTTACATTATATGACATTTTATATAATTTGTATTACATTTTATATTTAATTTAATTTATACATTTTGCACTAAACAAATAATATAATTTATTAGCAATTTATGTATCTAAATAGTAATTTTTATAATATTTTTTACTATTTATATAAAACTTTTAAACATTATATATATATATATTTTTAAATATAAATATTGTATTTAAATAGATTAAATACTAAAAAAATTATTATTTTATGATATTTATTTATACAATTTTAATAACTTACAATAATAAGATAATACAGGTATTCATGTCAATATATTTAATATTAAAAATAAAATAAAATTTCTAGTGTTATTATTAAACAAATTATTAGTAAAAATAATAAATTATTTTTATAAAATAACATACTATACAAATAGCATACTATTTGTGATAAATTTATAATAATTGACTTCAAATTTAAATAAAATATAATTATTTAATTTCCAAAAAGATATTTATCACTAATAATAAAATTATGTTAAATATATATATACTAATTAAATTAGCAAAAAAATAATAAAACAAAAAATATGTGATTTAATCATAATTTCTAAAATAAATAAAATAATTATGTTTATAATCACAATTTTTTGTTGTTGATTTTTATTTCATTTTTAACCCTAAATTGTTTGTTCATAATTAATGTCATTATTATAAATATATATATTCCAGTAATTTGCTGTATATTTATATAGTAATAAAATAAATTAAATAAGTATATCATTATTAGTAGTTTTAAAATTTTTTTTATCGAAAACAAGTTTAGAGTTATTAAAAGAAATCATAAAAAAATGTTATAAATATTTATTTTTATAAAAAAATATATGTATATTAATTTGAATAATTTAAACGTTTAAACTAATTGTTTATGTAATAGATATTACTGTATTTTTTAAAAAATAATTACTATATTTTCTAGTGTTTTTGACTAATAATAG